TTTACAGGCAGTGTTTATACTTTACTAATTTACTAAGAGTCCTAGTTCCATTGCTGACTCAACACCTGAACATAAGCAAAAGTCTATGCGCTCTCTCATCTCAAATGTAAACAGCCATGTTTCCTTCCGAGTTAAGTACTAGAAAATGCAGTGGGCCATAATTTAAGGCTGTAGGAAAAAGATTATATTGCATTATTTTCAACACTTACTTTTAGCTGGACTGCTCCAATGAAGCAAAACAAATTAAAGTATTTCTAATCTATATTCATCTGTTCTATTCCTCTTTCCCTACCCATTCCCCAAATTGAGTTTATTCCAACTCAATGCAATTCAACCAGAGCAACTACTGAAACACAAAGTTGCTGTCAATGAAAGCCCTCCCAGCAACTGATTATAGTATAGTATAAGCATTTTTAATTAATTCACTTGTTAATTAAATTAATGTTCCCCATTTCCTAGGTCAAATATGCTGGGGAATGCTTCTGGCATTCTTACCACTTAAAACTACTTAGCAATTTTTTCACACATCCCCCTTCTTTCCCTGGGACCTGTATTTTTACCAAGAATCACCCATGTTTCTTTACCACTATGCTTTAGAAATTGTAAGTTTTTATAATTATCTAACTAAATGTTATATATATAAACAAAATAAAAGTTTTCTTGAAGATAGCTCAATTTTAAATATTTTGAGAATACTTAATAAATCAAGATGCTAAATACTCAGTCAAATTAGATAAGGGTAAGACACTGTAAAAGACTGAGCAAGGAGTAAACAAAATATAGGCATTTTACCCAGATTGCTTTGAATGTCATTAAGACCTTGTTTCTCTTTAAAAAAAAAAAATACACACACACACACACACACATATGTGCATATACATATATATATATATGTATATACACATATATATATATATACACACACACACAAACAAACATACAAAAAGACATTAAAACTCAGGTGAATTTTAATAACTGAAGTAGGTTATGAAAAAAATTAATATAGTAGTATTTCAATCAGTAATCTGCATGCATATAAAAGGGTTTGGGCTCCCATCAGAAGACTAAATAATAAACATGTATTTGCTTAAAATAAAATGCTCTAAGTTAAAATAAAAGTTTAAAATTATTTCTCCACTTCAAACAATTTTTTAGGTAAACTTTTGATGGCCTACTAGTCCTGATCACACAGTCATGAGAATAGATTGTACTTACTAGTTAGGAATGACCATACATTCCAGTTAGGGGCCATATCAACATAATTCTTACCATCTCTTTTCATTCTCAAATATGCCCGACCTTGAACAGTAAATTTCTACGTCCACTTTAACAATAGCAGACATTAGCTGTGGTAGAGCATGCCTGTAATCCCAGCACTTCGGAGGCTGAAGGAGGAGGACCACTGCCAGTTTGAGGTCAACGTGGGCTACACAGTGATTTTAAGACCAGCCTGAAAGTCATGTACTATCTCCAAAAGAAGAAACCACACACACACACACACAAGAGTAGACATAAAGTTATGGCACCAGAAGTGAAAAGGGAACCCCACTGTGCTTCCCAGGAAACCCCTAAAAAAGCCACTCCAAATAAAAAATCCAAGCCAAAGCAGTAAGCTTGCTATGCAAACTAAGCCCTCTTCTAATCAGGCTGCTGCTCCTAAGCCTCTTCTATATAAATACTCTGGAGCTGATAATACACAAGTATTGTTCCACTCAAAAAATAATTCTAACCCAAAAACGATGTCAGCTTTAATCAGCACCTGAGAACATGTACAACTACATGCATATAAATCACAAAGAAATAAGCATCTAGGAATCTAAACCACTACAATGCATCACTGACCTAAAATCTGCATGGCTTGAGATAAAACATTTAGCTTTTCTGAGCTGCTTTCCATTTCTGTAAAACGAAACAATATTTGTCTCCTCTACTTATATAGAGAGTGCACATTAGCAAGCAGAAAGAAGTGCTTCAAGTGTTTTAATAAAGCAATGGATTGCCATCCCATAAGGCTTGTTAAACTGCTCAGGAAGGCTGAGGTGATCTAACATAAAAAAAGAAAAGCTATACAAGATGGTGGGTGGGTTTTTTCCCCTCCCCATTTTCTTCACAGATTTTTAATTAAAATGCATTGTTGGAGCTTTTATAACAATTTAAAAAATCACTAAGAGTAAAATGCTTAGGCTACTTAGTGCTAACAAACTTACACATAGTAGTCAAACAGCAGTTGCAGACTCCTAGATCTATGGTTGAGCTTCTGGAGGTCTACAAAGACCCAAAATGGTAATTAATGTGAATGGGCACATTTTCTTCAAGTAAGTCAATAATCTATAGTATGGAAGAAAGTTCCTCAGGCAGACAATAAACTGAAGTTTTTATCCAGCTACAGTAGTAACTTGAATTGTTACCTTGGATAAGTCACTTTGTCTTTGCATACTTCAATTTCTTTATCTTTCTATAGGAAACATTCACCTCATCTACCTCAAAAAGTGGTGAAGGGGATGAAATGAGAAAATACTAATGACAATGTGTTGCAACAATCAAAATATTATTATTTTCTACCTCTTCTAAAATCACTATTAGATGCTTATAAAAATCCTGCTTGGAAATGGTTCTTAGCTATTTAGAAAGGGATAGCAAAAGAATACAGAAAACAAATAAAGACACAATTAAAATTCGCCTTCACCCCACTCTCTGGCTCCTGGATTTGAGCACTAGCGTGATATGAAGATCACAAGCTCAGTTCCTGCTCACTTCAGGCTGTTCAGGGACCAGTGTTTCACACTAATAAATGCCTCCCAAATCTCAAAGCAAAAGGGAGAGTTCGCAAGGTTAGGCGCATTAATTAGCAGTACTCATTTGGATTCTGTATTCACCAAGTACAACAAGCCACTATTCAATATTTGCCTATTTGCACTACTCTAAGATCTCTAGTTCAAGATCCACTCAGTGTACAAAATAAAGCCCAAGAAAATAAACTAAAATAAACCTGTCACCATCAGAACGTGCCTCAAAGTAAATGAACAGCTTTAAGCTGTGACAAAAGGTTTGTGCAGGCCTACAGCAGAGAGAGTATCCGTAGTAAATGTACAGGTTAAAAAAGCAGGTCCCTGCTGCAAAAGAAAAGAAACTGTAGTTCCAAAAAAAAGAGAATTTTTTTTTTGTTCTTCAACAAATTTCTATTCTTTTTGCTCAGCTTCTCAGTGATCTGTAATTCACACAGCATTAGATAGGATACTTTCAGATTCTTTTAAACTCAGTAAACTTATTTCCATACTTTATATCATTTATATCATTTCCTACTCCAAAATGAGCAACATTTTATATATAATGAATTATTTGTACTAGTATGTAATATTAGATTAAGAAACTGACCATGATTCCTTTATATTACATGTTCTAGTTTATCAGATGAAACAGAAAATATCACTCCTTTTAAAAAGTGGTTCCTGGGACTGCATTCTCAACCTCTGCTGCACAGCAGAATCACCTCATGGGTTTCTAAATATTTCAAAAGCTAAGACCAATCTTATTAGACCTACTCAATCAGAATATCTGGAGACAAGATCTCTTAGCATTGTATTTTTTCTGATGTATGGCCAGAACATATCAAAGGGCATGAATTTCACAACTCACTGGAGCTCTTATGACAGACTCAAAACAAAACAAGAACAAAAAAACAAAACATATAATATTATGCCCTCTTTTGATTTGGGGTAATGACTGTATCATTCACTAAAAGCTTCATCTTCAATTCCAACAGTAATAATCCTACTGGGAGATGAAAGCTAAGATAGATCAAAATTTTATCTCCATACCCTACTTGGTGCCAGTCTGATGCCAATCTAACACCAATAATGCAAGAACTGGGCAAATCCCTCAAATCTAGAAAGGTCTTCAAATAGGTGATCATTGATTAACCTAGTTTTTAAGATGAGCTTCAGGAGCTCTGATGAGATTCAATTAGTTTCTGGAAAGGAGAACCATGTCACCCTTTTTCGTTTACACTATGTTGACTCATACTCCTTGAACAAGCCTACCCAATGGTAGGGTTTTTTTTTTTTCCTTTACAATGTCATAAGAAATCATGGATGAATATTCAAAGATATTTCCAGGAGCTACCCTTTCAAATCCCCCAGAGAATGTCAATCTTCCCAGACAGCAAGGAGATAAATTTCATTCATAACTTAAACCATACCATTTCTCTAAGTGACAGCTTTACTTGGTGTTCAATTCTAACTCTGTTTTAGACTCATATGCTCAAGACTTCAAATAGCAGAAAGACAAATGAGGCATTTTACACACTTGCTTAAACCACACTAAGTTATTTCGTAGGAAACAGTTCTACTCTGATCCACAATACAGCCTGGCTATTTCCAATCATCACCCATCAAACAAAGAAAGGCAGCAGAAATTTCACTCTCAAGGAAGCCTTTCCTGATTAAAACCATAAGGCTGAAAAATCTCCCTGGGAAAAGAATGGAATTTTCTTGCTGCAGATTACTGCACAGACTCAAGATTACTCACAGACTTAGCTGTGCAGGCACAAGCTAAGAGACAGAAAATCAAAAGACAAGTCTAGCATTGAAATCCTGAGGTACTATGGAGGCAGGTTAAAAAAATTACCATACAGGGGCTGGGGATTTGGCTCAGTGGTTCTGAGGCCTGCCTTGCAAGCGCAAGGAACCGAGTACATTCCCCTCAACTAACTAACTAACTAACTAAATAAATAAATAAATAAATAAATAAATATTACCATACAGCCTGAAGAAGAAAAAACACAATCCACCATTACTCTACTATACTGTACTGTACTAAAGTGTTCCCCCCATAATATGTGTAATTTAAATAACATAACATATTTTTAGAATATATCTTTATATCCTTATTCACTGCTGAAACAAGATGTGTCACCTTCCAAAGTAATTTCAGCAAATAGTAACACAGCATCCTTTAATAAAACACACATACCATCTGAGTTATAAACAGCAAATACCAACCTGGCTATCCCGCCCTGGGAATCCATGATAACCTGGAGTCAGAGGTTCGTTCTATAAGAAAGAAAAGAAAAAAAATCAAACTGTAAGAGAGAAGAAAATGTTAAAAACAATCAAGTCACCCAAAGTGATCAAATAGAAACCACTACCCCAGTTCCTAAAACGTTCCATTGCTGTATTCTATCCAACCTACCTCCATGTATCTCTGTTTGGGCTTTTATAATGGCATAAAGACAAACAAACAAAAAAAATGTATTTGTTTGGGAACACTTCACAAACACTACTTTCCTCTTTGTGTAGTTAAATTTGTTTGCTTCCCAGGACAGTACATCTCAACCAGGGTGCTATTAATATCCCTAACTTCACACTGTGGGACTTCAGTAACCCTAGTTCCTACTCATGAAAAGCCAGCAGCCCTCCTATACACTAAGACAACCAAACACTCCCACATATTTCCATGTTTCCCTTGATCAGAAAGGGAACAAGCACCATCCTGCTGAAAACTGCCTCTTGACCCGGGAAAACTTTAGCTCTTCCTATATCACCATGTTTTTCCTCAGTTTTTAAAAATCTGGATGAAATTCTACCTCTGTTCAATACTTCCTTTTCCAAACTACATCATAGTATATATCTATCTGCCATAATATAGGCAGATATATGATATATACCTATATCAAAACATATATAAATGTCAAACTTATTTTGGTTATTTGTGCAGCGCACTTGAATGCTATTTATGATTTTAATGAATATTATATTTAAAGGTACGTCATATGTAGTGTCTGTCTCAACTTCACATTAACTACTAAACCAAGATCACTCGGGACAAGCACGCTACTCAATGAAAGCTATGCCAATCCTAGTTTAGTGTAAAGATACACAATATGAACACTCATTTATGGCTTAACATAGCAAATCAGTCAGCCATTGTATATAGAATACTAAAACTTCCCAAGTATTGTTAGAATAAGGAATAAGAAATATGCATGAAATAAGGCCCCTTCCTTCAAAGAAACTTTTAAATGCAAGCTGTATATGCACAAAAAGAGTAAATGAGAACATACGGTACTTTTGTAATTTCTGAAGTGTTCAACACACCTCCTTTAAAGATATTCACTCTTGGGGCCAGAGATTTAGCTCAATGGCTCTGCCACCTGCCTCATAAGTGCGAGGTACCGAGTTCAGTGCCCAGTACCAAAAAAAAAAAAAAGAAAGAAAGAAAGAAATTCACTGTCTTCTTTTACCCATTTGTATTTTTGTTCCTACTAGCAGAACAAGTTAAGAATTTGCACTGATAGAACTTTCAAAATGCCAAGAGAACAAACCTTTCACCTAATGGTGATTATCTTTACTTCAACAGTCTAAAGTCCACGCTTCCCTTCAAAAACATGAGAGTTAGAAGTTAACACAGGCTCACTGCAGAGCTTCTGTGCTTTATTCATCATTGTTTCCCTGAAATCTAGGACAGTATCTAATACATGGTGCACACCCAAAAGAATACGTACATAAAGAGTTAAATAAACAAATTATTTAGGAATTCAGCTGCTGATTTAATTGTAGGGAATCCAAGTTCTCCTTCTCTATTCCTAATTCTCTATTTGGGGCACTTTAATATTATAAATGAGTTTCTCCAAAGAAAACACACCAGCAAAGCTAACTGACTTTAAAAAAATTATAGGTGCTCAACAATCCTGAGAAAGAAGAAAAATACTAAAGAATACATACTTGCTAATTTCAAAGTTTACTGCAAAGTTATATAAACAAGATAGTCTGAAACAAGGATAGACATATGGGTCAATGGAAAATAACTGAGTCTAGAAATAAACCTTTACAGTTTGATGAACTAATTTTTGAAATAGGTACCAAGAAAACTAGTGAGGAAAGAGTAATTTTTTCAGCAAGTAGTACTAAAACAATTGGAAAGCCACACGTAAAAATATGAATCTACAACTCTACCTCATACCATATACAAAATTAACTCAAAATATGTTATACCTTGAACTGTAACACTCTTAAAAAGAGAAGCAAATCTTAATGACCTCAGGATAGGAAATAGTTTATTAAACATGTCACCAGAAGTATTAAATGACAAAGGAAGAGAGATAAATTAATTTGCAAATCAGATGTTTATCTAGACTATATAAAGAACTCTTACAAGTCAATAGCAAAAAGAAAACTAATTCAACTTAAAATGGAAAAAAAATGGGCTGAGGATGTAGCTCAGTGGTAGAGCACATGCCTAGCATGTGCAAGGCCGTGAGCTCAATGAGGGGTGCAGTGGCAGACAGAGACAGATACACAGAGAAAAGGATTTGAATAAGCAATTCAAAAGATATGCAAATGACCTGTAAGCATAGCACATGAAAAGATGCTAAACACCATCAACCATTATGCAAATCAAATCCACACTGAGAAAACACACACACTAGGATAGTTACAATTCAAAAATCTGACAATGGCAAATATTGGTTAGGAAGTACAGAAACTGGAACTCTTATACACTGCTGGTAGAAATGTAAAATGAAACAACACTAATGGGTGTGGGCCTGGAATTTAGCTCAGTGGTTCAGCTGCCTGCCTCACAAGCGCAGGGACCTGAGTTCAGTCCCTGTAAAAAAAAAAAAAAAAAATGTCTATATAAACCAACGGGTAGACCCTCAAAATGTTAAACACAGTTAATTACTATAAGACCCCAAAATTCAAAACCAAGGTATATGAATCAAGAAGAACAAATACATATATCCACACAAAATTCTGTACACAAATGTGTATAGCTGCATTATTTCATAATAGCCAAAGAGTAGAAACAACTCAAGTAGATGAATGGATAAACAAAGTATAGTAATCTATAACTGAATATTATTTAGCAATAAAAAGGAATAGAATACTGATATAACAAAACTGAACCCTAAAACCAGACTAAGTGAAAAAGACCAGACACAAAAGGACCACAAATTATATGATTTTATTTACAGGAAATGTCCACAATAGGCAATGTCCATACTGACAAAAAACAAATTAGTGGTTCCATGGGTCAGGTAGAAATGTACAATGACTGCTAACAGGGACTGGGGTTTATTTTAGGGTGATGAAAATATCTAGAGCTAGATACTGGTGATAGGTGATTATTCGAAAAAAACCAACAAAATCGCAAAAGTACTTCTAAAATGTGAGATTTACGGTCTATAAATTGTATCATCAAATCTGTTGTTTTAAAATAACACTAGTTAAAACCACGTTGGCTTTTTCTTACAGTTCTACAATTAACTGAATCCAGAGCCTTCACAGTAAACTACATCCCCAGGCCTTTTTCTATCTTTAAATTTTGAGACAGTGTCTCACAGTCACTCAGTTACTCTGGCTTGGCTTGAACTTGTGATTCTCCTACCTCAGCATCCCAGACTCCTGGGATTACAGGCATCCACCACCATGCCTCTCTTCACACTGATTTTTACAGGGGAAATATATACCATTTAGATTATAACAAAAAAAAAACAAGGTTCCTGAAATCCAAAAGCCACCTGTTTGTTGTGGATAATAACTTTACATCCATCTCATTCCCTAACAATGACAATAAAGATGATGATAATCAACAGATATAAGCAGCTAAGCAGTATGGTTCCAGGATGAATGGGAGATGGAGAGAAAAAAGCAGACAGAAGATAACAGACAGGTAAGTAAGAATATATTTCCTACCATTAGGAAAACTAAGTCAGAGAAAGTAAGCAACTAAGTCTATGTACAATGGAAAAGGTGAATGGCCAACCTGGGTCTACTGGAGCCCAGAGCCCTGTCTTTTCCATTTTGCATTCCAAGTTCTTTTTCCATTCCAAGTTCTCCTCAAAATGACCACTCCATATTATCCCTTTACAGTAAATATTTCAACACTGTTTGAGAAAGGTATTATATGGTTATGAAAGTAATTGCAAACTCCAAAGTCTTATTAACAAAGACGTACCACTTCCAGAGAACATCCCATATATCAACTATATTCCTTGACATCCTAGAGTTCAACAATGCAGAAAAATTTTTGTAAGAAAAGATCACATTCCTAACAAGCCAGAATTGTCAAAAACTTTAACATCTGCACAGAGACGTGTCAGAGAAAACAAATCTTTTCTGCCACCTGTCTTAGCAAAGCATTACTTTTCATAATTCCCACCTCTTAGGGCTACTGGTAACTCTCTAAGCCCTTAGAAAACTGCAACCCTGAGAGTGTCAATACTTAATGAAAATGGGCTGTTTTAATTCTACCATGTATATACTTCTCTCTTAAAAATGCATTAATTTTGCATGATTTTGAATGTTCTGCTTTTTTTGCTTAATAATGTGTGAGACTCATCTCCACTAATGCATACCACTATATTCCACTAATTCTGACTG